ATATTTTGGTCCGGTTTTATTTTATTAATCGTGCGACTTTAACCGAGCCCGAGAACCGACCCAATTTCTTGAAGTCGCGTTAGAACCGAGCTTTCGACCCGATGAACCGAATTTTTGACCCGGTCCGGTATTCCTTCCCTCACGTGCGTGTGTGTGCGTGTGGAATTTTCTTGGTCAACAAGAAAATAAAAACCTAAACTATTTATGGAATATATATATATATATGTATATATGTATATATATATTTTCGCCCTTAGCAGCAAAAACAGAGATCCTCCCGCAGCTCGCCTTCTTCCTTCAAACCTGCGATCGATCTCCTTCAATCCCTGCGCATTCTCGCTCACCACCTTCTTCTATCAACCATCACCATCATCAGGTCACCATCATCACTCCCATCGCCATCATCGTCGCTGGCAGCACCGGAGCAGCAACCGCGACACCCCAGCGGCCACCATCTCCTCCGTCAACATTCAACTTCGGCTTTCGGGACCCATCAAGTTCCGTCGAAGAGCCTATCGTGATCGTTGAGTTCCGTCGGATTCCGTCGGAGCGTTAAACGAAGCCGACTAGTTCCGGACGCCGAGCCGCCATTGTCGCCACCTCCACCACGATCAGTTGCAGGCCTCCGTCGAGTCCCGTTAGCTGCTGCTACTCCTCCGCGTGAGACGAAGCGCAGCCGTCGAACTTACTAATTGTACCGTTCATCTCTTTCGTTCCGTTGGTTTTCGATTATTCCCCGAGAACGGTACTTGCACTCAAACCCCACTCGTTTATCATTTGATTATGTGTTTAAGTGCTCAAATATATATTGTTTTTGCTGACCGTGTGCTTTTCGAATTAAGTGCGTGCGTTCGGAATGCTTTCGTGTGTAATTAGGATATATTGTTAATATTTGGTACCAAAGTGATTGCCGTCACTTTGAGAATTATCGAACTGAGTTTCGAGTAGTATTTTATATGGAAGTGCTGTGGATTATTGGACTTAGGATCATCCTTGACGCAACGGCTTTGGCCTCGCGTCGTTTCGATGTGTATTGAATTAGTTATGAATTTTTTAAAAACGTGTTGCAGCCGGTTTTTGTTAAAATCATTATAAATCGTGTATTTATCCAAAAATTCTGATTTTTGGATATGTTGTAATGATTGAATTGTAGTAGTTGTGGTTAAAATCTGAGAATTTTATATGGCTTGTAGCCTTGTCAAAACTCGAAAACTAATTCTGGGCTGTTTCGTAATAAATTCATATAAAATCGAGTTCCAGTCCGATTTTGCTAATTTTTGAATATGTTGTTTTTCTCTAGATTATATTACTGCTGTAAAAATGTGAGATTTAAATTCGAGCTGTAGCTATTTTAAATGATTTAATTTGATTTCTGGTCAGATTTTGAGTAAAATATTTAAAATAGTTAGAAGCATGTTAAATGGTTTTCCTTTGGTGAAAATATGTATTTTTAAGCCCTTAACACTCAGTAAAAATTTAAATTGTAATAACCAAGTCCAACTCCCCTTATCCCTATTCTTATAAAATTCGAACTAGCCTTTTTAACCGTTTTGACCCGTTTTGTGTCGAACATTTATTGTCTGCCTTTATGTGATCTATTAATTGATTTGGTAATTAATTGGTCGAGTCTAGGAGTCGTCCTAATATTCCAACTCCACAACTTCCACGAGTTCCTTAGTCGATGTTATTCGACTAAGCATAATTCTCGTTATCTGTGCAAGAGTCGAGATAGTTGCTTATGGGACTGTCTTGACTTATGTAGGTGTCTGAAGAGCAGTGTCTCGACCACCTACGACCATCTGACTAATTGCTTTATCAACCGATACCAGGTGGGTTGTAATTGTAAAATTTCTA